TGCAAAGCTGAAAGTCTTTCAAAAAACTGGAAGGTTGTAGGCAAAACACAAAATTGGCAGAGCTGCTCAAAGGAGTTTGCAGTTTGCCTATGATTACTTCGTTTAACATTGCAATGATTCCATGACAGTCAAACATCAGGCGCTGAAGCTTTAAAATTCAAATTATGTAAAATGATAATTTCTAGGAAGTCGGACACTTATCAGAACTGCTGAATTAAAATCTCCTAACTACATTACTTACGACAGGATTGGTAAAATTTTTGTGTTGTTGAACTGAAGTAACTTGCAGGAAGCTTTAACACTGAGCTATGCAAGATATTCAACTCATGCCAGGAAAATTTTATGTTTCGTAATATTGTATGGTCAGCAGAAAGAAAAATCATAACCCCAGTAAAATTAAAAATCTCAGACGAGGTTTCCAAAATGAGATTACTCTGGAAAACATCCTTCTCAGAGTCTTTTACCCGTGTTAACTCATTCACCAGTTATCAGTGTTTTCTCATCTGTTTCAACACAAAGCAAAAACCAGAAAAAACCTCTAAAGAAAAAGTTAAAAATACACAAGTATTTTGCAGTTAGCTGTCTTGCCATTAAGTGTGCTAAGAGCTGAAGTCCTCCGCCACCGAGAACCCTTAACGAACACAGAGCTGCAAACCCTCAGTCATGACTAACCCAAAAGAGCAGACCGTTGTAAAATGTTAAAGAACTATAAGTAGATGGAGAATTTATAGCTTCATTATGTCACTAGTTACAGACGCACTTGTTATTTTTAAGAAACTTGAATGAGAGCCTCTCGACGGAAAAGAACATGAAAGAAAAGGAACACGATGATCTCCCACCACCGCGAATAAAGCGGCAAACACAGTAGATGCCACCGCGGACCGCAAAGCCGGTCCCGCTCCCCGGGGCCAGGCCCGGGGCCACCCCGGGGGGCCTGACGGGTCGCCCGGCCCCGCCGGCAGCCGCAGACCTACCCCAGCAGCCGCGCTGGACGCCGACGGGATGGGCAGCAGTTTCTCTCGCTCGTTCTCCCCTTCTTCCTCCTGCTCCTCCGCACACCCGCCGCCCTCCTCGGCTGACGGGGGCTCCGCGCTGCCATGGTTCAGCTCCCTGCCCGGCGGTAGCTCCGCACCGCTCTGGTTCAGCTCCGCGCCCGGCGGTAGCTCTGCGCCGCCCTGGTTCAGCTCCGCGCCCGGCGGTAGCTCCGCGCCCGGGTCGGGGGGGAGGTCGGCAGCCGCCGTGGCCGCCGAAGGGCTCTGCAGCGACATGGCCCTGCTGCCCTCTGCTCACGGCAGCCCCTCAACTCCCGCCGGACACCCGAGCCTTCTTCCTCTTCTTCTCCCTCCGGCCGCCGGCTCCTGGGAGCCCGCACGGGCACTCCCTGCACCTCCGCTCCGCTCGGCTCGACACGGGGCCGCCGCGGCAATGCAGCAGCCGCGCTGCTCCCGGGCGCTCAGACACCCCCGCGCGGCGGGGCGGAGCGCAGCCCTGCCGCCCCCGCCGCGGCCCGGCGAGGAGAGGGAGCGCGGGATGCACGGAACGGAGGCGGCCGGCGCCGCCGGACAGCGCTGCCCTAGCGCCCCCTCAGCCACCGCGCCACCTACAGACCGCGGGCGGAAAAGGGGCCGCCACCGCCATGTTGTTTATAGGCGGCTCATAGAAACGCGCTTGGCGACCTGAGGCGCCGCGCGGGGGCAGCGGAGGACACGGCTACGGAAACTCCGTAGCGCAGAGAGAGCCGAGGTGCCCGCCGGGCATACGGCGGCGGGAGCTGACTGCCGAGCTCTGCGCAGCCGCTGCAACCGCGGCGCCGCCGGGCTGGCCGGGGTTGGGGCACCACTAGGGGCGCCCTGCGGCACCTACCTTCCGCACCCCGGTAGCGGTGCTTCTGCAGGGCGGGAGCGGCAGCCTCCCACTGAAGTCGTTCGGGCGGCCTCCTGCGGGGCGAGGGCGGGGGGGCAGGCCGGTCAGGGCAACAAGTAAACACAAGAGTAGAATAGAACACTGCGGAGAAAGGACCTCGGTGTGGGGACCGGCGGGATACTCCCGCTCCTCCTTCACGTTGAGACAGGGTTGTGTGCTGCATCGCTGGCAGGGACTGCGCCATTAGTGACACCTCACACTGCCCCAACGCCTCGTGGTACTTTCATCACGGCTTCAAGTCATGCTCTGACAGGGAAAATACAGGCGTGAAGTGAAAAACCTTAGTCCTGCCTGTTCCACTGGCAAAGCCAGAGTGGTGCCAGGCCCTGTGCAATGGTGGCAGGTCCTGGCCCTTCATTTGGACAGGTCTTGGGAACCCACTGTCAAAGCCCAGGCTTGCTGGAGCTTTGCCGCAATGATATATATTTAAAAATCGTCTTCACGAGGTGTGATATATTGAACTGGTTGAATACAACATCCAGACTAGATGTAATGCAGCATTTGTCTGTGGGTACTGACCTACCACGTGGCTGTGTATGTACAGGTATGGAAGTCCTTCTGCGTGTCAGGGATGCAATGCTTGTGTATGCTAAGCTACAGAAGATTTAAACCCTTTAAACCATTCTCTGCCAGATGAAACAAGTTTCTCTAAAACCACTGTAATTTTGTGTCTGGAGAAGAATTCCCCTCCCAGCTTCAGGATCAAAGGAGTGTGAATAAAATTACAGACCACTTAAAACAAACCTCCAAAATTGTTTTTCAGATAGAGGTAAAGCCACATGATGGCTTTTCTCAGTATTGGCATTACACAAGTAAGCTCCTGCAGATTGGAGCTGTGGTAAAGATCTCTGTAAGCTGCATAAAAGCAAGGGCATAATAGGTACTGCAGAGTTAATCTAACACATAGAAAAATGCTTTCCTTTTTTGAGGGAACTGGCAGACCTGGAGTTTATTAGGTTTCATTAAGAAATCACTTTGTCTTCTTACCAAATTAAATACGAGAGCTGGTTTTCCAAGAAGTTCAGTCCTCACTGTGCGTACTTCTCGGTTGCTCTCAGTGGTTTGCATGAATAAGTGACCTGCTGTACTTAAACAAAGCCCTCCAAACACTCACTCATCTTTTTCCTCTCCATGCCAAGAAATAACATAATGATAGTAATTGCAACGACTTGAGTACAAGCAGCTATACATCCAGTGGCAGTCCCCAACTGGAAGTAATTGGCACAGCTGTTTGGTGGAGCTGTGCCAGTTTGAAACATGGAAGGATCTGCTCCCTTGAGCCTGCAGAGAGAGATGAAGCAAAGAGAGAGATGAAGCAAAGATGAAGCAAGTGTACAGATGCATTCATAATGCTTCTTTTTTTTTCTTTTTTAATTCCAATGAGCAATAAAGGCCTGATTTTTGATAGCATCAAAATGCTTTTCTACCAGGATTATTTCACAAAAAGCTAATGCCTCATCAAAGACATCAGTTTTTACTGTCCATAATGTCCTGTGCTATTTGAAGCAGAAGTACTATGTTGAATTAAACTAATTCAGGTATTTTGACCCATGGCAATTATGGAAATAAGCAAAAAAAAGTGCTGTTAAATTTTTTTCTTCCTATTTTTATAAGGGAGCAAGAAGACCACATACTGAAAGAAGCAAATGCGTTTTCCTACTTCTAACAAAGGTAGCATGCCTCTGGTGGCTAGGGTTTGTAGCTAAAAATATTTCAATTTAATTTATAGCTCCACAAGGCAGTCGAAGATGTAACCACAGCTGGGAAAGGCATGTCTAAACTGGCTTTCAATCTGCTAGCGCAGCTGGATGCTAGCTGGGTGCAGCAGTGCTACATGTAATGAGGCAATGCACATAAACCCTGCAATCATTTGTTGCCAAAGTGATAAACCAGGGTAGCGGGCAATGGAGAAGTCAGAAAAATAGGATAAAGATAGTCTGTCTTCTCACAGAAAAGGTTTGTGGGATATACAACATTTTGAAATACTAAACAGGTATGCAACTACCATTTTACAGGACTTCACCAGTATTTTTGGCCAGATGGCCTGGGAGCTTTGACAAAGGGTCATGCACGCTCAGTGTCTTTTTGAAAGTGCAGGCTTTTTGTTTGCATCACCTTTCATAATACTTCCAGTTCTTTCTTTGAGGCTAATAATGCTTTTGCTTACCTCAGTGGTTGCTTTTCCATCTCCAACTGTTACTGTATTCCCTACTTTATCCTTCCAAGGGCTCTTTCCTTTATTTTTTGTTCTTAATCTCTTCTGAGCTGCTTAAAAATCTTAAATCACATGGTGCCAGCTACTTCACAGTATTTTTTGGTGAGTGGGGGAAAGGTGAAGTTCAACCCAAACCTGTTTCTCATGCTGCCTGGGCCTACACATCCACATGGGTTCCTGGATGAGTTTGCAGCCTGTGCTGGACCCCTCACTGTCATGCCATGCTACTGGCTCAGGTAAGCGTAAGTACACCCCTGAATGACTACAGAAGGGGTTGCAGGCAGTATGTGACCCTAAACATATTTTCTTGTACTTACGGGAGCACAGTTCTGCTTTAGCAGGGTGTTGATCCTTTCAACCAGAACAAAACCTTCCTGACAGCTTATTTTAAAGCCATTCACAAATATGTTCTATTCTGAAGAGTTTGAGCTGTCAGGAAGGGGAAGAAGTCAGCGACACATCTCTGTGCAATGACGTGGCCAGGCGCAGACCGCCACTAGGAATGACAGATGGAAACAAACCAAATGCTAACATTTTTTCACAAATGATTAGCAAATGCTTACAAGTAATAGATACACTCACAGAGACTGGCATTTGGGAGTGATGCACAAATGAAAAAAAATAAAAAGGGCTTAATTCCCTGGCTAGTATTTTCATGACAAATAATTGAGTGTACCTCACGTGTTCCTCTGCAGTCAGAAGTCAAAATGCAGCTGTAGTCAAAATCAGACCTGGTTTAATTCAGAAGTTTTGGCCCATTACAGGTTTTTCCCTGGCCCTCAGATGCTTTACTAGTGGTTGCAGTCAAAGAGTGTCAAAGATCCCTGGGGCAAAGTGGCATTTTAGGAACTGAAGTAAGTGACCTGTGTCCTTGAGAAAAGGTAGGCTGAATTTCCTGTTCAGTTGATGATACGCTTTCATCGTGCAGCAACACTGTGTCTCTCTCTTTTATCAAGTAGTACTGTTTCTTTCTCTTTATACTGTTTGAAGATCTTGTGCACTTCCGTGTACAAAATATTTGGGCCATTTAACAGATGTGTGCTTTGTGAGATGGACCCTCAGTGGGCTCAAGGGGAAGCACAGGATAGCTGAAATGTTGAAGGAACCAGCAATGGCTGGAGACAATCCATTTTCTCTCTGTGGGAGTAGGAGAGATAGATGGTTGGGAGTTTTCCAATACAACAGGTTTTCAGCAAAACATTTCAGTTTCACAGAAAGACCTGATTCATTGAACTGGAAATGTTTTACAAAGAAGCATCTTTTACAATGACCTTTTAGCAGAACTCAGGCAAGATGCCACTGAAATCCACCTGTTTATTCATCCAACTCAGTTGGAGAGCTTGTCACACTTGTGAATCAGAGACTGCATGACTTCTGGACTCCCTGGTCAGCTAACACCCAAGCTGCTCTACCCTTCTGTGTGCCACCTGCGCACATCACCCATTAGGAAAGACGGAAATGCATGTCTGCCCACAAGTCATGACTGTTCTGAGAATGCATAGCCTCAGAGCTTGTAAGGGATGAGCCAGCCTTGTTCAACCTAGCCTGGCAGCCACCCACTTCCCTTGAAGCTGGACTAAGGTATAAATTTGGGAAGTTTTGTCCTAAGGAATCCAAATGATTGTGAATCCACCTACCACTGCTGGCAAGCTAGCCCAATTATGTTTATTATTCTTGCTAGGAATAGGAAATTATGTAAAAGTTGATCTTGTCTCACTGTCTTTCAGTCCTTGGATCAGATGCCTTCATATGTTCCTGAAAATGTCCCTTTTTTTCAGGAGCACATGTGCAAGATGCACTCAAACTCTCCTGAGCTAGGTCCACATTATTTCCCCTATGACTAACATAAGATTAATTAATCTATAGCTCTCTCTATATAATCTATATATACTTACCCTTTGGCTGTCCTCCAATACTTGGAAAGCCCCATTTTTTAAAGAGTTTATAAACATTTAGAAAAGTGGTTCAAAGGTCTCCTGAGCTAATTCACCAGAGGCACTTACATGCAAGTTACCTAGCTGTTGTTTTGTCTTGGCAGATACTCAATTACATCTTTCTCTTTGGCAAATGGTAAACTTTTGATTGAAGGTACATCATTAGCTGGGAAGCATCCTGCTTGGGCATTCCTAGTAAAGAGAAGGAAAAGGTAATCAGAGGTAATCAGCAGTTATATCTTATCTGCATCATAATACTTGCACTTTGGGTTCCTTGTCATTGCTAACTGCTGCAATACAGCATCTGTGCCAGGTAACTTGAGGCTTATGGACACTGACGCCTAGGCAAGAGCTTAATTTTTATGTTAGTAATTAGCTCTTTTTTGTTTGCCTGGATAAGCTTGCCATAGAACAGGAACTTTGGGTTGAAAGAAATCATTATACTCTAGTTTAGAAACATTGTGGCTATTTTAGTGATGTCCAGAGTGAGGTTATCTGTGATAATGCAGTGTATGCAAAGACTGGAAGACAGACACAGGAAAATTCACCAAGTGAAGAGAATTAACATAGTGACCACACAATATTTACTATGATTTCCATTTCTTCTCTCCAGAAAGTTGGTGTTTGTTATTCTATCTTTAAACTTCAGTTAATTTCTCTTAAACTCTTATAAGATACATCAGTAGCATGATCTGCCCTGAGATATAGCAAAGGACAAAAGTTAAGGGTAGGAAATAACCCTCTGTCATGTCTGATCTGGAAATTGTTTTTAAGTGAGGTAGAGGCAGATATTACATACAGAGTTTTGTCCAATTTCTATTCAAACAAGTATGCCATGCTAAAGAAGGTTCAAATGAGGAGGCAGTATGTAACTGTCATGGTGTAAGCCCAGCTGGTTAAGTACCACAGAGCCACTAGCTCACTCACTGTCACCTCCCACCCTGCCCCAGCTGGCATGGGGAGAAGACTTGGGAAAAGATAAAACCTTCAGGTTGAGATAAGAACTGTTCAATAGTTGAAATAAAGTAATTAGTAACAATAATAGGAAATACAGAGGGAGAGGAATAAACCCCAAGAAAACCAAGCCATGCACAATACAGCTGCTCATCACCTGCTCGCCACTGCCCATCCCATCCCTGAGCAGCAAGTGGTTGCTTCCAGGTAACTGAGACAAGGGGGGCACAAAATCACAAAATGGAATGTATAAACCTTTAGAATCAGTTTTAAGTAATGTTAAGTTTGATGGCTTTGTAACAGTAGCAATGGAAAATTACTGAGGTGCATGATATACAGGAAAAAAAAAGAGTACAGCTAGAGAACATACTGAGAATTCTTGTACAAGCTAAATCGTTATAGTTGACATAGTTTTAAGAAAAACAGTCTAGAAGAACAGGACACAGGGACAAGGAGTATTTGGGAACCGCAGGTGTCCAGGATGGGCTACAGTTAAACTAACTGATAAGTAGGAGGACAGGAGCATTATTATGTCTCTGGTGCTAACGAACCAATTAAGCTGGTATAAGCATCTACTGCGTGTGCTCCAAAGGCAGCCAGAAGTGATGACGATTGTTGGAAGAAGTAAACAACCTTCAGAGACCACCACCACAATTCTGTATGCATGCAGGGAACTTTCTGGAAAATGATGTAATCCATATGTAGCCTCATGAATATGTATGTATGCCCGGGGACCATATAAGGATGGCTTCTGTACGGGGACACACGTTAGGAGGAGCTATTTCCCGTGTTTCTCGGCGCTGCAGTGAAGAATACCTGCTTGTCAGCGTGAAAACTTTGCTGGCAAGTTAGTTCCTGGAGTTTTCTCCGAATCATTACTCCCCCCAGTTTATATACTGGGCATGATGTGCTATAGTATGGAATATCCCTTTGGCTAGTTTGGGTCAGGTGTCCTTTCTGTGCTTCCTCCTGGCTTCTTGTGCCCCTTCTAACTGGCAGAGCATGAGAGACTGGAAAGTCCTTAAGTCAGCACTACTTAGCGAGAACTAAAACATCGGTGTGTTATCAGCATTGTTCTGAGCCAAACACAGGAGTGTACCAGCTACTAAGAAAGAAAAATTAAATCTATTCCAGCTGAAACCAGGACAATAATGTTTAATTCAGAGAGTTGCTTCTGTACCTGTGTCATCATGTGACCCATGAAATTGTAAACCGCTGATAGAATTAACGTTTCTGGTTAGCACTGCTTTGTAATTCTTTAAAAAATTGCCCAATTGCTTTAAAAAGAGAACATTCTTGGACTGAAGTGGCAGCGAGGGATAATGTGTATTTCCAAGATGCTTCGCTTGCGTGGGCAGCGGGAGGGTGCTGGCGGCGGCGGTAGCCGGGGCTGCAGCTCCCTCCAGCGCCAGCCCGGCACCGCGCACGAGAGCGCTCCTGATGCCTAGCGTTCGGAAACTGCTCATTAGCTCACAGACATGTTTGACATCGTAGAAATTCGTAGATTTAGAGCTTTAGAGATAATAAATGTGGGATCAGATCGTTTATACAATAATTTGTATATGTATCCAGGGAACTGATAGAGCAAATGGCATAGTCAAAATTAATCTCTTACGTTAGTTTGGGCAGGATTAAGAGCTGGATGTTTGACGACTGTTGAGAATTTTACATCTTTAATGAAGTATGTGGTATTCCCTTTGTAATGTCTAAAGCAGACAGTCATCCCTGTGCTGTGCAGCGTGGATTCCAGTGGAACACCCTGAGCAGCTGGCACATCGCTGCAGACAGGGTGCTCCAGTGTGGGTCACACTGATGTACTCCCCAAGGGACTTCTGAAAAAAAATCCACCTATGTAAGTAGTATCTGGATATGTCTTACGGGTACTGGCTGGCTTCTCTTGCATAAATACTCATACTCACTCATAACCTGTACCTTCCTAAACTATTTTAGTAAAACCTCCTTGTCCAACACAGAGAACAAAAACCTCCAGTTGGTATGTGTGGAACAAAAAGAGTGATGCAAACACAATGTCATGATGACTCAATTGTCATAATAAATGAACAAATAATGCTGTTTTGTCATCTTCTGCTCTTGCCCCACACAGAATTGCTGTATAAAAAAAAGATACCCACCACAGTGTTTGACTCTAGTGGCGGAGACTTTATAAAAAGCATAGCATTGGTCTAGATAACAGCATTGATAATGTCTGTATTCTTCCTGAATAATTCCCTTTTAAGATATGTTTTGCTTTTGTACTTTTCTTGCACAAAGGATCCTCACTTCTACGTAGTCTGTAATAGGGTCATGCTCACTGGAGTCCCTGAGACACATAGTAAGGCAGCAGAGAATACTATAGCTACAAAATACTTCTCATATAGAAGCAAGAGATATTAAAACAGCTGTACCAGGTCCCTGTATAAATTACTGCAATTTTTTAAAGTGAAAACTCTGTCTAATGACAATAAATCTGGAAGCATTTTTGTTGAGACTGCCTTCTGCTCCTGGCTTTGTTGGCCAATGCTGGTAGCATGAGCAGGACATCACTTTCCTTTTCAATCTGACTGACAAAATAGCCTCATCCTGGTCTTCTACCCTGCACTGCTCCACCTGACTTCTGGAAAAAGAAGAGGGACAGAGGAAAACTTTGCAGAGCTTCCTGTGAACCCTCTGTCCAGCAGAAGAAGCATTAAGGTGTGCGTAGATCCTTCCCATGCTGCAAAACCTGAGTAGGGGTGATCAGGCATGCCCGCTCTGGCAGGGTGCAGAGGGGAAGCCAGATGAGGATTGCCCTGCTCCCTCCAAAGGGCTGAGCTGGTGCTTATAGCACAGTCTTCCACATTTTCAGCTGATATTGTGGAATTTGCTGTTATTGAGTATAGAGGTGTCCGATTTGCTGAAGAAGAGCTTTGCAGGAGTACAGGCTCCTTCCTAAGGCACTGGTGCCAAGTTATAACGTCATTTGTATTCAGCCAAGTAGTTCTATTTATAATAACCTTTCAAGTGACCCAATCGTACACTTGGTAAAGCACTTCTAAAGAAGGAGATTAGTTTCTGTCTTTCCAGGATATGAAGTAGTGTACTATATAAATACTGCAGCTTAACTACTGTCTACTTTGAATGTCAGTTAGGATCAGGTAGTGTTTATACACTCCTAAATTTTAGCAGTTTTTATTCAGGACTTTTCAAATATGCATCAAGCTGAAACTTGGCATGTAAGCTGTCAGCACAGATGCTAGTTTTATTCCAAAAATAGACTAAGTTAAAGCTTTTTAAGGTGTCAAATGGATTATTTATGCAGTGGTTGCAGATGCTTTAGTTTTCTGGCTCTTTCAACTATACAGAAGCTTACTGTGTCACATCCCTCCCTCTTCCATTCTCCAACATAACAGTTCTGAACAGTGAGGAATAAGAAGACAAGTGATGACACTGGAGTAGTTATCCAGAGATGGTGTGCCCTGGAAACAGGCATAAGTAGCAGTCATTTTTGGTGAAACAAAACTATCCTCTTTGAGTCACCATAAAGAAAAAAAAATCAGAAGACATCTGAAGTGTTATGACACTGAATGATGAGATATTGTTTGACAGCACAGTGAAAGGGAAGACAAAATCCTCAGTACTGTGGTGGTTCCCTGTCAATCCCATTTAGACAAGCAAGAACCTTTTCCCAGGGATTACTGCAGAGGACAGCTCTAAATTCACCATGGTATTTATTGAGTATGTGTATTAAAGTCTAAGGCACCACAATTCAGAAAAATTATCTCCAGAACACTCTTTGAATGGTAAAAAATTGCCCCCATAGAATAAACTAAACCACAGGTGATCCCATTTGCTCCATTTTGCACAGGCAAAGAAAAGCCTGCTGCCATATCGTGATAACAACCCAGCGCTCTGGTAGACTAGAAAACAAAACCAGGAGATTATAAAACACAGGACCTTTCTTGCAGAATGTCCTGCCAACACCTTCAGCAGAGGGCAGACTGATGTAAACACAATCTGCCCTCATATACTTATTATATACATATATACTCATATACACATAGAATCATAGCATAGAGTTGGAAAGGACCTTAAGATCATCTAGTTCCAACCTCACTGCCATGGGCAGGGACACCTCACACTAAACCATGTCACCCAAGGCTCTGTCCAACCTGGCCTTGAACACCACCAGGGATGGAGCATTCACAACTTCCCTGGGCAACCCATTCCAGTGCCTCACCACCCTTACAGTAAAGAACTTCTTTCTTATATTCAATCTAAACTTCCCCTGTTTAAGTTTTAACCCGTTACCCCTTGTCCTATTGCTGCAGTCCCTAATGAATAGTTCCTCCCCAGCATCCTTATAGGCCCCCCTTCGGATACTGGAAGGCTGCTATGAGGTCTCCACACAGCCTTCTCTTCTCCAGGCTAAACAGCCCCAATGTTCTCAGCCTGTCTTCATATGGGAAGTGCTCCAGCCCCCTGATCATACTTATTTGCAAGCATATTTAAATATAGTGTCTCATATTATAATATGTAGGGTTTTGTTAATTTTCTAAGTTTTAAGAATACTTACAGGATGCAAAGATTGTGATCAGGTTTCACCTGAACTTACTCGTTTAACATGATCTTCAAATTCATAGTTATACTTCTTCCAGTGAGCAATTTACTCTTGGTAGAAGCACTTGTGCCAGTATGAGTTAATGTGCATGACTACTTTATTCTACCCCTCTTGGGGAGGCATGCTCCATCTGTTTGTAAAACAAAGAGAATGGTTACAGACAAATATTTTTAAGTTTAGATACTTTCATTCCACTGAAACCAACCTGACCTATGTATGAATAAAGACCAGTCACAAGATTATAAACTTGAAGGATTTGCTTATACATAATACATATTCAATACTCAATCCTTTTCCTCTGAGGAATGGTAGACTTTCAACACTTTTTCTGGAGGTTTTAATCAGTAATTTCTCCTCTAAAATTTACTCCATATAATGTTCAGCTGCATAATAGCTATAAATAAAAGGAAAATAATAGATAATGATACCATATCAAGATCTATTTAGTAGTCAAGACTTAACAACACCTACCTACAGTACTCATGACATGCAAATGTTTTAGTCCTTCCTCTCAGAATGAAACAATGTGAAGAACCCAAGCTAATTTCTTTGGGTTTCAGACAGCTGTAGATGAGAAATGATTTATGATCAGGTTTTGAAATCATGCCAGCAGGAGTTTGCTCTTCAAACAGATGCTCCAGTATACTATTAGGAAGGTCATATATCTCACGTCATCATTTGATGGGAACCTGGTCAGAAGTCTCTTTCCCTCCTGCTAAGTTTTCCTTGTGAAATAGCAAACATGTTTTCTGGTCACTGTGTGCTCTGTGAATTATTTCTCTAAAAGCTTATTTATGGAAAACTCAGGGATCTGTTTTCTCAACTCTACAAACCTGGAGGTTGAACCAAATCATGTTTGTTAAATAAAACAAGCCTCAATGTGGCACAAATATGAATCTTTTTTGATAATTTCAAAATGTTACATTAATTTTACAAATAAAAAATCCAAACCCACAAAGGATTGTTTTTTATCAAACCCTTTGCTTTTGAGAAGATACATGAAAATAGAGATTGCATTTTTTTCTAATGTACATAAAAATGAGACAGCCCAGCAAATTCAGGCAAAAGAATCAGTGTTTGTTTCAGTTTTTGCCTAGACCATCTCTAGGAGCTCTGTGAATGGGGGGATCTTCACATCTTACATCATCTGCTGCTGCTGTGTCAGCATAGAATCACAGAATGGTTTGATGGTTTGGGTTGGAAGGGACTTTAAAGATCATCCAGTTCCAACCCCCCTACCATGGGTAGTGACATCTTCCGATAGACCAGGTTGCTCAAAGCCCTGTACAGCCTGACTTTGAATGCTTCTGGGAATGGGGCATCCACGACTTCTGTGGGAAACCCGTTCTTATGTCTCACCATCCTCATAGTGAAGAACTTCTTCCTATACCTAATATAAATCTACTCTCTTCTCCTTTAAAGCCATTACCCCTTATACTATCACTACTTGATGTTATCATCCTGAGACATCATTTACACATAATTGTTGCATTCATACATAATTGTCATTTGTGTTTCAGTGATTGCCTGTTTTTTTTTTCTTTTATTTTTCTTTTTTTTTTTTTAATTAGAAAGCACCTCCTTACTCCATAATGAGAATTGCTCATTAGAAAAAAAAGAACCCAAACCAGACCCCAAAACCAGCCTTGCATTGCCTTTTGTGGTAGAGCTAGCAAGGGCACAAAGATTATTTTAGTAAGGGTCCAGTTCTCAAGGTATAAGCCACCCTTTTATGCACAGCTTTGAAACTGACAATACCTGCCCATAGATTTGTTTCAGGCTCACATTACTCAAGTAGTTACTGCAGTTTCTTTCTTTCTAGCCTCAAATTCAACCCCAGGTTGCATTGTAATGTTTCCCGTCAGGACACATTATGGTTGATGCCAGAGCATTCAAGTTTGCAAGAGCTTCTTCTGTACTTGTCTCCAAGTGAGACAAATAGAAGCTGGATTTTTTTTTTTTTTTGTAGGTTACTCATACTTTGCTAGTCAGCAGTGCTGGGGTTTCCTGAATGCTTTCAGGTAGAATAAACCATTTCTGATGTTGAAAGAAGCTTTCCACCCCTCCTCACCCTCCAGCAACCTGCTGTCATCCCACCACTCCCCTTCTGTGGTGTTTTGTGTGGTCATGTGGAGAGCTAGTTATGTTTAAATCAGGGAAAAACCAAGAAAGGCTGGCAAATAATTCATAAAAAGACAGTGAGGGCCAGCAGCAGGGCCTGGCTGAGCGGTGGCTCAGTGCAGCACCTGAAGGTCAGGCAACAGCTCCAAGGCTGGAACTCATCACACTAATGTAGGTGCTGTACAGGAAAGGGCAACTAAATCAGTCACTGGGGGAGACTCAGGCAGGTCACCCCTGAGATTCAGAGCCCAGATTCAGTTCTGGTGCCCAGCTGCCTACAGCACAGAAAGGGAATGTACACATAGATTCTATTTTGCAAGAACTACCCAAAAAAGGTACATCAAATATCTTTTGCTTGTGGTGTGATTTGACACATGACATACCATAGTAATCTTCCGAGGGAAAGAATGCTTTCCTAGTATATATCTGATATAATTAAGGATGTATGACTTAAGTACCAGCTCCTGGCAGTGGTCTGAAGTGATACCACAGGACTGAGATACCACACTGTGGTTTTGCTTCCCATCTAAGGAATTGCAATATGTGCTAAAAATACTGTTGGGCACTTGGAAATGCAGAGTGTTATCACATGCAGAGGGGGAGATGGAATGTCAGTCCCAGTAGAAGTCACCACAGAAGAAGAAAAATATAGCACTGAGCAATTTAAGGTAAGCCTTTTTGTGTTGCCAGCAAGATAATATGGGACTGGGTTGACATTCTTTATCCCTCTCTCAACTCTGTCCCTTGCAGGATAAGAGATGACCTGCTTAGAAGTGAGTCATGGGTAAATAAAACTTACATAGGTAAGCATTTGCACCATATTAAGCATCAGTTTTCTGCCACACATCATACCTATGATGAAGAAATTGAAGATGTTGTTTACCTCCCTGTGTTTTGCCACGGGAAGACATTTATATTTTATCTGGTTGAAGTCACTCATCTCTAAGGAGGAGTGGGAGGGGATGCTTGACACGCAAGGACCATGGTGACTCATCCTCCTCTCCAAATCCACTCTGTGCCCTGCCTCTGCTATCCCAACTCTGGGTGGCACACAATGACTGTGGTTTAAGAGAGCAGCAAGAAAAGATGAGTTGTTCTGACAACCCTCTTAGAAAAAAATACCCATGGCCCTGTTTGAAATGGTGGTTACAGACAGTGGCATCTGCTGAATTATTTAAATTCATACATTCAAGTTCTACAGTCATACAATCAGAAAAGAGGGAGCCAAGAAATTTATACACAGTTACTTGTGAAGGACAATAAGGTAATAAACAAAATGCTCCAGATAAATAACAAACTAACCAAAGTGATTAGATTTCAGCCTTAGAGAGCTGTAAAGCCAGCTCCTGCCCATTTTACCCTTATGAGTAGTTTCATTATACAACAATCTGCTTCTTAGTAAATTGCCAGTTATAAAAAAAAAAATCAAACTTGTTCCTTTGCTTCTCTATTGTTTTGTATTTTAATAATTCTAGTCATAACCATTAAAACTTGTGCTTTTATACTCCCATGTTGCAAAATACACATTACTGTTAAGCTACTCAATATCCATTATTTGCCTGAGTGTCAGTATAGCACCCACAGAAGAGTCAAAGTAAATAGATGCAGAACAGGTGCACGAGCTGGATGATGCAACTGTCTGTTCAGTCTGCCCGTAGGAGCAATGTGGCTCCTCGGGGCCATGAGCGCGGATCCACAAAGTGGGACTGAACAAGTTCCATGCCAAAACATTGACAACATCTGATATGCGCAAGAGGGATGCTGAGTGCACAGAACTGCATGTCTTGCTGAATATAATACCATGCAAACACCAGCAGGGTTAGATTTGCACACAGTAATCGTTTATTCGTTATAAAAATAGATGTGCTTTGTCATTGCATCTAAAAGATGCGCCCCCCAAAATTAACAGTACAAAACCTGTATAAAGGTAAAGGTTTGTAACTTCAACAATTAATCTGGAAAAGTTACCCTCTGTTTTCTTATACTGTAAATATCAATTTTAGTAAAGTGCTGAATGACAGCTATGAAGGGTTTTTTTAGTATTTTTTACTTTATCATGTGTTTATGCTTATAGCAACTCAATGCTACCAGGATAAAGGAGTGGTTGTGCATGCATTGGCTTAAGAGTGGTGAGTTTTCTTGAAAAGAGTTGTTTGTCTATTTTGTACTATCCATGAAGTACGTAAGACTATTCAGGAA